ATGTACTGCGAATCTAAGCCTTCTCTTATTAACAGATTCTTGCAGGTCCCTTTGGCCTGCCCTTCGCAAAACTTCTTCATTTCTCACATGATATTTTAAAGATTTTTCTCAAACATTTCCGATGGAATACATTCACTTTATTCTCCATAGCTGCTGTTCTTCTCCAGGTTTCGCTAGCATACAAGGCTGTAGGTATTACAATGGCGGAGTATAATTTGATTTTAGTCTCTTTTCTTTTTTGAAATGTAATGATCCTAAAATGTTATGTGAAAAACATATATAGGGATATTTAACCCTAGAATCGAGAGTCAATCGTCTAGTAATTAGTGACTGTTTTGGTTATCACACTCTCCGGCAAAACGAAAAAAAAACAACAACACTAAAAAATTGCTTTTCAACGATAATTTAGTATTACAGCTTTCGAATGATACAACTTCCGTGTTCATTGATTCACCTCTTGCTGAGAAATTTTATTTGAAAATGAGTTATTCCCGCTGTTTGTGTCAAGATTTGGTGAAAGACCATTGCCTTTTGCAAAGTAGTTCAAAGATTTGTCTTCAGTGCTAAGCTAATAATTATAAACTAGAAGAATGTTAGAAATCCATGGTTATTGACAGACTTAAATTTGATTACTCAGACCTCAACCATCGAAAGTCGTGAGAAATAACTGAAGAAAATCTATCGTTGTACCTGTTAAGAATGTTCTAGATGACACGAACCTATTGATAACTGTTTTTATGGTGTAAATCAAGGCCAAAATGGAAAAGACCTGAGATTGATTGATTGTTTTGAATTTCGCGCTAGCCGTCCCTAATTTAGCAGTGTAAAACTAAAGGGAAGGCAGCTAGTCATCACCACTCACTGCCAACTCTTAGGCTACTCTTTTACCAACGAATAGTGGGATTGACCGTCGCATTATAACGCCTCCAAGGCAGAAAGGGCGAGCATGTTTGGTGGGACGGGGATTCGAACCCGCGACCCTCAGATTGCGAGTCGAGCGCCCTAACCACCTGGCAGGCTCTGAGAAAAAGTAGCCTTGTTTTGGAAAGACTTGTCATCAACACCAAAACAACATTTTGTGTGTTTTATTGTGTTTTTCGAAGCGAAAGATCGAACCGCAAACGTTTTCAAAATTTTATATGAGAAAGTGGCCTAGCGGATTTTCTCTTCCTTAAAGTTGCCACAAAAATATGGCAATTTCTGAAAGGTCGATTCACGATTTTGGGGTAGTAATTAATACAATACTTATTCACTGTACATATACTTTATGAAGTCAAAGTTCAGTAGTTAAAGCTTATTTGCCTTTCCCTGCAAGAGTAGCATTAATAAGATTTGTTGATTTTATTATAAATATTTTATGTTGTAAAACTTGTATCTGGAAGATACTTCTAAGAATAAAGAAATCATTTCGATAAGAAATGGTCAAAAGTTGTGTTTTTGTCTTTTTTGAAATTGCCTTATTAAATACACGAATGTTTTCGTAAGGAGTACATTTAAAACTTTGTGCACTGATTTTTTATGAATGAATCTTTTTTTTAAGATATTACTTTCACAACTGTTAAAAAAGGTTCACATTCATATATTCGTGAATGCACAGTTTTGATGCTGGTGGAGCTTCTAACAGAGATTCAATGTATATTTAGTGTGCATATGCACGAGATAAAGATTAAAGCAACTCTGTAAATGTATATTAAATTGACAAATCAATATTCTCCTTTGCTTTGAATGTCATACCAAATTTGTTACTCGTGCTTACTGGTAAAACAAAATATAATCCTGTTCTATTACTTAAAAGCGTGTTTTAAAAATATATTCGTGAATATTTTTAATGGTTTCGCGCTTTTAGAGCGAGTGTAATTTACGAACTTTTCAACTAAACCTAGTAACAGAAATACAGTCTGTATGAGTCTAGTTTTATTATCATGAAAGTGCACCAGCTATTAAAAAACAAATCTGGATTGATATAGAATAGTAACTTACGTGTACGTATACTATGTTTATTTTCTGACTTTTTAACTGAATTGAAAAATGAGGAAGAGTGGACACAGTGTTTATCAAAATGAAACAATCTTTATTCATTCTATAAAAAGTATCAAAATGAGTGTATTTACGAATGACGGCGCCTTTACTGTAGAGACACCTCTGTATCGATATTTAGATCTGTATATCTTTTAGACCGAGAAAACACAGCATTATACACACGAAACAATAATACTACTTTTCTCAGGTCGCGAGCGTTTTCCGACGTAGCTGCTGGTCATTCACATCGAAAAATACGGGAGGTTATGTCCTCGATCTATTTGACCCATCACTGGAAGTTATCACTGTCTACTTTTGCATAGTATGTTCAACTTTACAGAGATCTTTCCCATGAGAAGGGACTTGAGACACCATAGGTGTACTAATAGCCATAATATGAAGACAGCACTTGCATTAGCAACTAAAGCGTCCTCTTCATTATCTTTATTCACTTGAAGAAGTTTTCCCTTTGAGCTTCATGTACTCCAGGGTTGGTAACGAAGTATTTGTCAGATTACACGATTTGGCCAAATTGTTTTGATGAATTAAAATATTTTAATATCTAATCTTGTTTATAATCAAACTTCGTTTTCCTTCGAACACATCGATTGCTAATCTGTCATACTACGTATCTTTTTTTTTAGCAAAATAGAGTTAATTTTCTTACTTCACAATGTGCTACTGGTATGGAGAGATATTTTTCAGTAGTTGCAGAAACACCATAGTAGATTTGATAACATGTTCTCTAGGGCTAGAATTTCCAACTAAGGTCGTACTTGATACGTTTTTAGGAAGTGAGAAAATTTATTTCAAACGATAAAAACTACATTTTAACACGCAGCTACATGTATATATTCTAACACATTTTAAAATTACCAAATATTAAACTTATTTTACTGGCCAATTGATTAACAGTTGGTGTAGAGTGTGAAATATAACATATATATTTCTAGACAGGGCAGTTAACAAACATTTGGTCTCTATCACTCGATTACTCTAGTTCTTCCCTACAATAATTAAAAGGCTTAGTTTCAAATCTGTTAATTGTTTGTTTGTTTGAAATTAAGCACAAAGCTACACAATGTGCTATCTGTGCGCTGCCCACCACAGGTATTGAAACCCGGTTTCTAGCGTTATAAGTCCGCAGACATACCGCTGTGCCACTTGGGGGTAAATCTGTTAAAGTTTGTTTGTAATACAAAAATAAAATAACCCTCCAGACAAGCATATATTTGCCCAAACGAGGAAGTTAATCAATACTGAATGATACATTTCAAATGTTCTTCAATTACTCCTGCTATCTCCTATACTAATCAAAAGAAATTGTTTACATATCTACTATACTTTTTCTGTAATTGTCACAAACAAACAAATAAATATAAATCTTTCCGGACGGGCATTTTTTACTCGAACATAAATATTAAAATCGAAAGGAATCCTTTCTGCGTTTGTTGTTCCCCAAATAAAAGTCCCTCTGACAAAATTAAATCGCTGTTGCCCGAAACGTTGTTTTCTTGTTTTATTAATAAATTTATTCCAATTTGGCGAGTTTTTCACCACTACTATTAATTATATTCTGCCTTCTCTATATTCTATTACTTCAAAGTTAGGGACGGCTAGCCCTCGAATAGCTTTGCGTGAAATACAACAAAATAAATAAATATTGAGTAACTGCCCTGTACATGGAAATACGTGCTGTTCTGGGAAGTTAATTTTTGGTAATATTACAGAAAACTTAAACAAGATTCTTGATATTATTGTAGGAGAGAAATAAAGTAATCGAATGTCATACATGTGACATTTAGTGCTATTTAAATACTCTATGTGTGAAATGATTTTTTTCTCCGTCTCTTACCCATTTTCAATACACAAACACACACAAATAAAATTTACAATGCATTTGTCACAAGCAGCTAAAGAGTACGAAGGATACTTCACCCTGTATCTTTAACATTAAGACATTTCAGATTATATCGGTGTTGTTTGTTTGTCTTAGAGGAAAGCCACTTTGGGCTATCTGCTTTGCCCCTCGTGGGGAATCTATCCCCGGATTTTAGAGTTGGAAGTCCGTAAACTTACCGCTGTCTCACCGTAGAACATATCGGTGTGATTATGCTTAAAAAGTATAAGACACCTTGTACTTGAATCTGATATCAAATATTAATAAATTAATACATCTTTAAAATCAGAGTTAAACACAAAACCTATATAACACTATAACCCATCAGTAGAGATAGGCCTACTCCCAGACATCGTATGTACTATATCTTACTATTTTATTATATTTTTACATTTTATGAGAAGTTCAGTTACTTCCGAGTAAATTTGTTTCCAATTTTATCTTGTTATAACGAGAATTGTAAGGTCACAGTGATGGACTGAAAGAAAATTAACCATTTTCCCTCAGATAAAAACATAGGAATTGTTACCTTTGAGCAAACAGAAAAGTTAATACGCTCGTAAGTTTGCGATCAACATTCCCCAGCAGCTAAACATTGTTTGGTCTCTCATCAAACTGAAATGCACCAACTGGTGGCAAAGTTCTGAACTACTATCATGAATTGATATTGTGAAGTTAATTACCCGAAATAATAGGTAACTAGGTAAGGGGGAAGAAATTTAGCTATTTCACTGACTGACGTTCTGTGTGAAACTACACCCACCAGTATATCTTTGAAATATTCTATATTAAACTTTGGAGTAGCAAACACATGGTACGCTTGCATATTATAATACGCTACTATAGGTCTAGGCTACGGTAATAGTTACGATGTTTATCGTCTAATTATATTTGATATTTGTAATAATAATAATAATAAGTAACACATGCATATTAATTACGTTTCACCATAATTTATTTTGTTTCCAATTAAGTCTGCATTATCATTTCTTTTTGGTTAATGGATTTTAATTATTTTGTAAAGACTCGTAAAACCTCTGACTTGTATCCAGAATTGAACTTGAAACTACCGTCTTGTTGCTGGTTGATTGCACATTAAAACAAGGTTTCCGGTAATACATGCATTAATTATATCTTATATCTTTCCATTTTACTCTGTGTTATGAATATGTAAAGAGATTCAGCTAAAAGTCCCTGTACAGATTAATAATTTAGGTATATATTTTTCTATATGGAAATGTTTAAGTATGCTATTTAACTATTGAAAAGTTAACACATTTTATCATCAAATATGCATATGTTAATCTTTTTAAACTTTGTTAATTGTGATATAAAACAGATGAGCTGACTTCATATCTAAATCATTTAACACAGTATTTTATTCTTACGTTATCAACATGTGTTAATTACCGTCATTTACACTTATTTAATATTCATTACTTAGATAATGAGAAGCAGAATGATTGTGTTAAAACTTTACTACGTCAAATAATCAAGTTTTGAATTACTGGGAATAAACTTTATAACCAGTGGCAAACTTTTACTCCATCAAACAAATATTTTAGGACATATTATAAACTTAATCTTATTATAATGGAGCTTGCGGTGTATACGTCCAAAACCCGTATCTCTGTAACTACCGCACCGATCATCACCAACCATAACTGGGTAATATTTTTATAACTAGGCAGTATTTTTATAGCTGAGCAATAAATAAAACAATAGAAAATTCCACAAAAATGATACGTTTCAGATTTAACCAATAAAAATTATGAAAAAGGAGTAAGTTTCAAATATAAAACAACCAAAAAAACAAACTTAAACAAATTATTTGTTTTTCTTTAGTGAAAATCTCACGAGTGTTGCAACAGAAAAGTAAGGCACTTTCATTGATAACTGGGTCTACAAAGAAATACTTCAATAAAATCTACTGTTTGATGTAATGCTGTGATTATAGCTCACTTTTAAACTAAAATTTCAATCATTCATTTTCCACATGGATGGTGAACATTATTAAATGTCAAGTATTAGTACATTGTTGTAGAACTGTCAGACAATTCCAGAAAAAGCAGCAGGCCCAATAGCCTTCCGAAGGAACTAGCAGTTATGTCTGCCGGAGGGCGGGTATTTCTGCTAGTATTTCTAATATAATTACCAGTCAAGAAAACTACCTGTGTGCTTGCGACACAAAACAGATTAGCTAACTTTCATATCTAACCTATTTTCTAACCTTTTCTGTAGATGTTAACAAAGTGTATTTGGTGAAACAATGAAGCCAAAAATTTGTTTAAAATTGTATCTGGATCTACATGTTCTTTTTTTTTTTACTTTCCTCTTAGCTAGTCCTTTATGGATTTTGACTCAGAAGTTTGTAAAAAAAAAAGTATTGCAGTCACAGCCCAGAATGTGGACCTTTTTTGAATATATATCTATTATTTAAGATGTCGACTTTTTGCCTGATATAATTTCAAGTTAGTTACTATCAAGGTTATGCTTTGTGGTCGGGTCCATTACTAAACTTACTCACACGAATAATAGGGGTGAAAATGTCGCTTACTGGTTTGTTTGGTTTGGTTTGAATTTGACACAAAGCTACACGAGAGCTATCTGCTCTAGCCGTTCCTAATTTAGTAGTGAAGGGAGGCAAACAGTCAACACTACCCACTGACAGCTCTTGAGCTACTCTTTTACCAAAGAATGGTGGGATTGATCATCACATTATAACGTCACCACGGCTGAAAGGGCGAGCATGTTCGATGTGACGGGGATTAGAACCCGCGACCCTCAAATTGCGAGTGAAACACCCTAATCACCAAGCATGCCAGGTCTATGCTAACTGATAAACAAGTACATACAGGTTAAACTGAATTATCCTCAAAGCTTCACCCTAGGTCTTCTTATTAACTGAAGATTAGATCAAGATATCCATTTGGGAATATTACTAAACCTCTTCCTAATTGGTTCTGTTTTAAGCAAAATAAAGAGACTGGACGTAAAGTGAAACCCAAAATGAACAATGAATAAAAGGTTTGTTGAGACTTAGCCTCCCCAAATATAACGTCCCTCATGAGAGAAAGATCGAAAGAGGGTGTATGTGAGTCACTAAGGAGAATTTATTCATTTAGGAGCACGAACTCATTTTTCTCAATTTTGCAACGTCTCATACGTGACAGAATAGCCTACTCAAACAAAAGACTCACTCACCACTTATGCCTACACAGCTATTTTAAACACACTGGCCGTCACTTTACTGGATTTTCTCATCTATTTACTCTTTCAAATCTTATTCCTTACTCAGTTTATATGTTGTACTACACTCTCAAATCCAAAGTTCATTAGTTTCAGAGAAACTTTGCATTTAGGCGACATGCGCTACCCACGTCATTGGTCACTTGTCCTAATGTGTTAAAGATTTCAGTTTTTTCATCGTACGTTATGGACTTGTCATTCTAGCTAAGGCCTTGTTGCTTGTCATAATATACTGCCCCCCCCC